AATGAACAGGTTGGTCCTGGAGAGGGTTAAACCAGGCTGCTCCTTAGAGACAAGGATTATGAGGCTTCGTCTGATATACTTTAGACATGTTCCAAGAAGGGACCAGTCCTTGGAGAAGGGTGTCATGCTTGGAAGGGTGGAGGGACAGCGCCGGAGAAGACCCTCAAGATGGATTGATTCAGTGACTGTGGTAATGGGGGTAGGTGTGTCAGAGACAGTGAGATTGGCACAGGATAGAGCAGGGTTTAGGGCTCTTGTATATAGGGTCGCTATGAGTCTCAGACGACTAGACAGCACATAACAACAACAATGTGCATCATGAATACATAGTATCAATAACATAATTGCATCCAAGTTGTGCAAAACATTCTCATCATTCTCCTCTGAACTGTTGTGCTACCATTGACTCTTGTTATGTGCTGGTGAGTTGACTACAACTCATAGCAATCCTATGAACAATAGATCTGAACCCTGCCCTCCTCTGAGCAAATCTCACTGTCTCTGATACACCTACCCGCTTTGCCAGTCACTGTGTCAATCCATTTCATCCAGGTCATCCAGGCCTTCCTTTCCTGTGCTGTCCCTCTAACCTGTCAAGTATGATGTCCTTCTCCAAGGACTGGTCCCTCCTGGCCACATGCCCAAAGTATGTGAGATGGAATTTTATATATGATTGACTTAGGCTTATAGTTTTGTAAGCTTCTCATCTAACCTTTTGAATTTCTGCTGGCAATTTAGTGTCTCATAGATAATTCTTTTAAAGAGCACATTGCAGAGAAGGTCAGTCTGCTTTTCTTATGACATGATGGATAAGCCAAACCCCAGTGCTGGTGAGCCAATCCTGAGGTATAGTGACGCTGTGGGACAGAGCGGAACTTCTCATATGGTTTCCAAGGCGGTAATCTTTGCCTGATCGACAGTAATCTTTACCTTAATCTGAATTCACTACTGTGTCTTTCTCCCTTGGTGCAATTGTTGCATTTGCATCACTGATCTTTCAGCTAGCCATCATTTTTAAGCACTGTGCCATCAACCCAAGATCTACAAGAGACTCCAAAACCAGTTAAGTTGAAACGGTATCACTGAGATCTGTGGGGCTCCGTCCAAGCAGCAGCACGGTGGGTTGAGGGCAGCTACTGATTCTCAGCTCCAGCTGCTTAGCTCCGTGGCGACAGCAGGAAGTGGCCACAAAGTGAAGATGAACGGCTAGGGCTGTGTTCCAGTAAGCCTGTGGTCGGGAACATTGGGAGTTACATCTCAGAGTTTCCTCTGGGAGGAAATGACCCGTAAGTGCTTAACTGCTTTGTGACTAGAGTCAGCTTTTCTAGTGTTTCCCTTCAATTATTTAAAAATACAAGAGCCATTCTCATCTCACAGACTTCACAATGACAGGTGGCAGGCAGGTTTTAGCCCACCTGGTACAACTTTCTGATGCCAAAGCTAGGCCTATGGTAGGTACATTCACAGAACAAGAGTGGCGGGGGTAGAAGGTGAGATGAAACGAGGGAGAGGTTTGAGTCTCACTCTTGTAAGGTACCAGTCATGGACACATGGTTTGGAATTTAGCTCCGAATCCAACACAGTTTCCTCAAGTTTGCACAGCACAAGTTGCATGTCCTGGAAGGAAGGTCCACTGTAGACCCATGAATCTCAGTACTGTGGCTTTCACATCCCATTCATCTATAGTTAATAAACTGGTGGCACCCAGCCCAGAGTCTTCTCAGACCATTATCTTTTCTTTATTCTCTATTAGTTGAATTCAAAATAGCTCAAACACATAACTGACCCACCATTGAGTTTCCTAAGCTATAAATGGTTTGGGAGACTATCTTTCTTCTGAAGAGCTTCAGGTGGATCCAAACCAGGAGAGGGGCATAGCCTTTGCAGAGCGGCTCCCTAAGAACCTAGACCAGCAGAATTATTATTTGAGGTTTCCAATTTTTTTCCCTATCCCTCTATGACCCCTGTATTCCTTTCTCTCTATTCTGAATTGAATATGAGTCCAGTCCATATACAACATCCCCAGTCAGGTCTGGGGTCAGCTGGTGACTGTGTTTTTCACAGATACTTTTTAAACCAAGTTCAGGCTTTGGTAATGTCTCTTGACACTTTCATTTCCTGCTCTTCCCCACATCCCTGTGTTTCTCCAAATACCTGTGTTCTAATATTTTATTGTTCTATCTCATAGCTTGTATACTGTAAAATTCCATGGCACTTGCCATCCCCACGGAAATATTCTCTCAGTGTTCTTGTCTCCAACTTTGCTGTGGTGAGAAAGTCGCTAAACTGCTTTATAAGTGATGTTGCTTTCAAAAATAGAATGAAAACCTCTGTCTTCTAACATTGGTTTTGTTTACTGGTATCTAACTGATGACCTTCCATGGAGACGAGGAGCAAGGTCAGAGCACAAGTCAAAAGGTTTTTAAGGGAAGTAGCATATGACCAAGAACTGATGATCTTGAAAGAAGTCCAAGCTGCACTGAGGACATTAATGAAAAACAAGGTGCCAGGTATTGACAGCCTACCCACTGAGATGTATATATATATTTGTATAATGGAAGTAAAACTGGATGTAAGTGCTTACTCATCTATGACAAGAAATTTGGAAGACAGCCATCTGGCCAACCAACTGGAGAAGATCCATTTCCAACAGAATGCAGAAATTATGGAGGTTTTTTAATAACATGTTCTTGTTAGGTGCTGTTAAGTAGATTATGAGTCATATTGACCCTATGAACAAGAGATCTGAACTCTGTCCTGTCCTATGCCATCCTCACAGTCTCTGACTCACTCAAGACCACTGCTGCAGGGACTGTGTCAACTCACCTGGTTAAGGGTCTTCCTTTTCTTCACCCTCCTTCTAGCTTCCCAAGCATGATGTCCCTCTTCAAGGAATAACCTCTCCTAACAGCATGTCCAAAATATGCAAAATGAAACTTCATTATCTTTGCCTCCAAGGAACACTCTGGCTATTCTTTCTCCAAGATACATCTGTTCTTTTGAAAGTCTATGGTATATTCAGTACTCTTCTCCAAAACCACAATTCAAAGCCATCAATTCCTCTCCTGTCACATCCTTGTTCATTGTCTAGCTCTCAGATGTAAAAAGAACAAGCAAATGACAAGACCATAGCTTGGATCAGAAGACCACAGCTTTAGTCATTAAGCTGATATGGTTGCTCTTTAGTCCTCTGGAGAAGTCCTTGACAGAGTTTGCCAGTGCAACTTGTCTTTGGATTTCCTGGCTGCTTGTGCTAAGGGTGTTGACTGTGTATATCTGAGCAAGATGAAATCATTCACGACCTCAACATTTTCTGTTATGATACTGCCTATTGACCCAGCGGTGAGGATTTTTGCTTTCTTGATGTAACCCATATTGAAAGCTACAGTTCTTGGTCTTGTGCAGCAAAGTCCCATCATATATAGAGGGGCTACTCCTGGGCAAGAGTTTTCATGCTAGGAAGGGAAGAGGTCAGTGATAGAGAGGAAGACCCTCCACAAGATGAACAGACACTGTGATTGCGGCAATGGGCTTAAGTGTGTCAAGATGAGGAGGATGGCACCAGATTGGACAGGTTTCATATCTACTGATCACACCAGAATGGGTTCATGTTTCCTCGGTGCAGTCAGTGTGGCTCCACCTCCCCCAGACCCCATACACAGTGGAATTACAGGCTACCTGGGCCCCACCCCATCTTTGCAGTTGTTGCTCTGCTCAAGTCGGTTGCTGCAGCTGCTCTGTGCAACGTCTCCCCACCTAGGAGGCTCCTCTTCCAGCCCCACATCAGACACTGTTCTCTTGTGGTCTATGAGGCACTGGCTGATTTTCTGAGTAGCCTGTTTGAACGTCCTTCCTAGTCTGTCATAGTCAGTATGCTCCGCTGAAACCAGTCCACCATGGGTGAGCTTGCTGGCACTTGCAATGCTAGTATGTGGCTTCCAGCATCTCAACAACACGTAGGCCACTGAGGGTGGCAAGCTGACGGGGGGCGGGGAGCGGATGGTTTTAGGACGGTGGAAAATGAGCATCTGCAAACCTCTGGCTGGTCCAGCTGTAAGGGATCTTTTTCACTCTCTATGGAACTGGACTCAGTCTGTAGACCACCGAAGTGTGGCTAATTCTTTATCCGAAATGTCTCCTTTTAACGCAGAGACATTCTGTCTAGTCATTTCTGGGACAGTTTCTGTACAAGAACAGGTAAGATATGACAGTCTGCTACATTCAAATAGAGTGGTAGAAAGGGATTGCTTTTTAAAAAATTATTATTCATTTTAATGAAAGTTTACAGAGACTTTGGATTTCCATTCATTCACTGTTGCACTTTTCTCCATGCTCACCTCTCCCCTGCCTCCCCATGTTTGCTCTTCTCTTTGAAAACTAAAAGAAAAAATGTTTCATTGTTGTACAATCCCTCCCCCCACCCCCAAGTCCGCTCCACTATGCTGCCTTCATTTGGACTCCTGTCATGACAGTAATACCTAATCATATATCCCTTTTAAACAGTTCTCTCCCTCATCTGTTTCAATGCAATATACATTATTTGTTCCATCTTTCTCAGTCTCCCTCAACCCTGATGACAATCCTGTTTTACAACAGTGACACTATGCAGTATCTGTCCTTTTGTGACTGAGATATTTCACTCAGCATAATGTCCTCCAGGGTCACCCATTTTGTATAATAATTCATGAGTTCCTTGTTTTTCAGTGCGGCATAGTATTGTGTGAATATACCAGAGCTTCTCTATTCAGTCATTTGTTGTTGCACACTTAGGTTGTTTCCAGCTCTGTGCTATTGTGAACAAAGCAGCACTGAAAATGGGTGTGCATATATCTGCTTGGGTGGCAGTTCTGGTTTCTTTGGGGTGTATTCCCGGTAGTGGAATTGCTGGGTCAGATGGTATTTCTATTTCCATCTTTTTGAGAAAGTGCCATGCTGCCTTCCACAGTGGCTGCACCAGGGACTGCTTTTCAAGAGCCCTTTCTGTTCCTTGTTTCCTTCAGCACGTTGATCTTCCCGTTTCTGATCCGAGGTGGAAAGCCGACGCCACTCCCAACCTTTGTGCTGGCAGTCCTGTTCTGCATCTTCAACGGCTACCTGCAAGGCAGATTCCTGAGCAGATACGCGGACTATCCTGCCGACTGGCTCACAGACCCCCGCTTTGTGACCGGTGAGTGGCCTCATGGATGCTGTCACGTTGCTGTCGTTGGTGGAGGAGCCTCAGCAGAGCAGTGCTGACAGTATTGGGTGGCTCACCTGGCATTGAACTCCACCAGTTTCTCTGGACAGAGGGGCCCAACAAAGGGTCCCCATGAGTTGGTACAGATATGACTGAAGTGTATTTGGGTGGTCTTTGGTCTGCCCTTCAGGATCCATGGATTAATGGGTCGATGATTCGAATCCACCTGTGGAGGTGTTCTGCTTCTGGACAGATTTACAGCTTTGGAAACGCTGAAGGGCAGGTCTGTGTGTCACAGGTCACGGGGAGTCAGAACTTGGGTGACAGCAGCATTGTCGGTATGTGCCCTCCAGTGGGTTTTCAGAGGCAGCAAATCCTGTGAAGGAAATTGCACATCTGCCTCCCATGGAGCAGCTGGTGGATTTGAGCTGCATGTCTTCGGGTTGGCAGCACAACACCTGAGCTTTGCTGTCACTTAGAAATCACCGCCCATTCACAGATGGCCTTTCCCCATTGTCATATTGAAAAGTTCTGAGATTGGTCCATCGTATCAGCCCCACCTGCCGCTCTCACCTGAAGCTACAGAGGATCACCTGATAGACCACTTTGTTTTTCCTCAAAGTATTTGGGTTTTTTAATTTTTAAAAAATCATAAAATCCTGACACATGACTTATACCTTGCTGGTGACAAAACATGTTCAAAGTTTTCTGCTGTATTTCTGTTCTGTGGATTTTAACTCCATCCCAAGTGCAGGGTCTCCTCCACACCTAAGAATGGTTACAACAGGTGACCTTGCCCTCACTTGCCAGGTGAGTCTGTCTGATAAATTTAGGGTCTTCTGGCTCCAAAACACTATGCTTTCAGGAAATGCTAAGCACCGGCCCAAGTAGCCCCTGGAGGGCTGGCTTTGGGGTAGCAGCATTGTCTCCTATGGTCCAAAGGATCAGGAACCAGCTTTCCCAAAGTCCTGGTACAGCAGGCCTGGGCCTCCCACATGCCTCACCGGTCTGCAGCTCACACTGCCCTAAGTGTGACTTCTCAGATAAGAGGCAAAGGGTAGGACAGTTGGACAAGCTGCCCAAAGAACAGAGCAGGTAGACAGAGGAGGAGAGCTGGGTGCTCTGACCTGCTGCATCCTCAGAAGTAGGCAACAAAGAATGAAACAAAAGCGACAAGACTGTGAGTGTTTTAGGCTGTCACAGGACTCAATTCTTTGATGAGGGTTTTTTTGGGTTTTTTTTGTTGTTGTTGTTTAATTAACAAGAGCAAATGCTTTTGGTCTGTGGATTTGAATACCATTTATAGTCGTAGCCTTGTAGGTAACAGACCTGGTCCCCAGAGACACTTTTAGACCTGGAATACAAATTGAATACAGCATCCTTTTGTATAAAGACACTCCAATGTCCTACAGCTGAAAAATGAAACAAAAATTTCATTAAATATAGGATCAAATAGGGAAACAAATTGGGTCACATTTTCGGTTTGACTCTGTCTTGGCTGTTTTATAGCTACTGTTAGGAGATAAAGTCCCTCAGTGTACAGAAAGGATTGGGACCAGGACCTTTCTTGGATAAAAAATAATCCTCAGATGCTAAAGTACCTTATGATGAAAGGCATGTATAAGCTGTACACATCCTTCCAGAAGCTTTAAATTCTTTCTACCTTACTCATAATACCTAGTACAATGAAAATATTGTGTAAATAGTATGTCATATCTCCTACTTAGCTAGCCCACATCAGGTGGCTCTGAACACATCATTGCAGGTTTGGGGTTGTTTCCCACCCCCCACTTCAATATTTTCAATCTGTGACCAGTTAGATCTGCAAATGGAGAACCTAATGATAGACAGAGCCAACTGCATACATAGACAATGGATTATACTGACTATATGAAAAATCTTTGTCTCACATATTCTGGGTATCTTCCTAGGAGAGGTTGTTCCTTGAAGAAAGGCATCATGCTTAGAAAGTTACAGGGATGGCAAAAGAGAGGAAGACCCTTAACTAGGGGGACTGGCATAGTGACTGCAGCAATGGGATCAAATGTGTCAGAGATGATGGGGGTGGCACAGGATCTGTCAGAGTTCAGACCTGTTCATAGAGTCACTATGAGTCATACTTGACCTAGCAACAACAAAAACATACTGCGTAAAGGGGCGCTCTGGTAGCCTAGTGAGTAAGGAACTGTGCTTGCTGCTAACCCAAATACAGGCAAATCAAATCCACTAGCTTCTCTGCAGGAGAAAGGTGTGTAGTCACCTTCCATGTGATTTATAGCCTCTGAAAAGCCCCTGGATTTTCTGCTGGAAGGTCAGATAGAGAACTCTGGTGGCTTAGTGTTAAAGCGTTCTGCTGCCAAACCAAAGTTTGAACCCACTAACAGCTCCACAGGTGAAAGATGGGCAATTTTCTCCTATAAAATTCACTGCCTTTCAAAAAAAAATAAATAAAAAAAAATTCACTGCCTCTCAAAACTGGCTGGAGGGTCAACTCTCACTTGTTTTGGACTTGATGGTACATGACCACAACAGTAAGCTGGGTATGGAGTTAAGCTGACAACCTGGAGGAAGTTTATTCAAATCTAGCAGCTACTCCATGGGAGAAAGATGGGCAATCTCCTCCCATGCTGTTTATTATTGTTGTTGTTGTTATGTGCCATCAAGTTGACTACAGCTCATAGTGAATCTATGAACAATAGCTCTGAGCCCTGCCCTACCCTGAGCCAGTCTCACTGACTCAACACACCTAACCTCATTACCACAGTCACTGCATTAATTCATCTCACTCAGTGTTGTCCTCTCCTGCACTGATCTTCCACCCTTCCAAGCATGACGTCCTTCTCCAAGGACTGGTCCTTCTCCAAGGACTTAGCAACATGGCCAAAGTATGTAAGACAGAGTTTCAAAGTCCTTACCTAACTGCAGATTTTCTCAGTGAAATATGACTCCTTATTTCCTGACTGCTGGTATCTAGGGTGTTAATTGTGGATCCAGGTAAGATGAAGCTGTTGACAGTTTCAATCTCTACTCCACTATCAGTCCAGTGGTAAGAATCTTTGTTTTCTTGACATTGAGGCTGTATGCTTTGATCTCCTGCAACAAGTGCTTCAAGTCCTCCTTACTTTAAGCAAGCAAGGTTGTGTCATCTGCATAAAGCAGGTTATTGATTAGTTTCCCTCCAATTCTGATGCACATCCTGTTCATAGAGTCCAGTTTCTCAAATAATTTGCTCAGTATACAGATTTAATAGATATGGAGAAAGAATACAACCATGACACACTCCCTTCTTAATTTTAAACCATACAGTGTTCTTCTGCTCTATTCACACAGTAGCCTCCTGGTCCAGGTATAGGTTCTCAATGAGCACAATTAAGTGCTCTGGGATTTCCATTCTTCTGAGTGTCAGCCACAACTTATGATCTACACAATCAAATGGCTTTCCATAGTCAACAAATCACAAATAGATATTCTTCTGATGTTCTCTACTTTCAGCCAGGATCCATCTTCCATCAGCAATGGTATCCCTGGTGCCATGGCTTCTTCTAAATACAGCTTTAACTTCTGTAAGTTCCCTATCTATGTACTCTTATAGCCGTTTTGAATGATCTTCAGGAATATTTTGCATGCATATGATATTAATGATATTATTTGACAGTTTTCACATTCTATTGGGTTACCTTCCTTGGGAATGGGAACAAATATGGACCTCTTCCAGTTCATTGGTCAGACAGCTGTCCTCCAAATTTCCTGGGCAAATTGGTAAGTGCATCCAGTGTTGTGTCTGTTAATTGAAGCAAGTCAATTGGTTTCTTTTGATTCCTGGGGCCTTATTTTTTGCCAGTGCCTTCAATGCAGCTTCTACCTCCTCCTTTATTACCATTGGTCCATGTTCATGTGGTATTTCCTGAAATTTTTCAGTATCAATTCTTTTTGATACAGTGATTTTTTTTCTTTTTTAATTAATTAATTAATTAATTTTTTTTTTACAAATTGAAGGTTATGTTTACTACCTAGCACCATAATCCAGTCTTGGGCTCTCCCACCAGTTGGATCAAGGGTGGGGAGAGAGCATGTGGGGAGGTGGCAGAGTTCTTCATCAGAAGCCCCTTTTTTGCTCTAAGGCAACTCAGGATCCAGCAAAGAGGAACCTCACTGCGGCTGCAATGACCACACACCGCCAGTTCAAGGGTGAGGAGGCTCTCCAGGCAGGCTGATCCATGGGGGCCCAGGGGGGCCTACAGCAGGGAGCCCTCATGAGCTAGGTGGCTTCTTCTTGGCATCCAAGTCCTTCTTGATGTCCTCAAGATTTTTGGCCAGGTTTGGTATCTTGCAGTTCCGAGCCAGGTACATTCCAACGATGTTTCCAAAAGTAAATGCAAGTAGGAACTGGAGCATGGTGTCGGAGGGGAGGGTGAGGAAACAACAAGAGCCACCACAGCTGCCAGGCCGGTCCCAGCCTCAATACAGTGATACAGCAGTCCATGGTATATTCAGACATGGCAATACGAAGAACCAAGCAACAAATGAAACTCTAACATAAAGTTTTGCAAAGCAGTAAAAATGAGTAATCTACACAATTGTATGTAGAGATTTCTAAAGTTCCTGAAAATATAATTCAGCATTTCTCTAATTAGACAAGTTGGAATAGATTTTCTGATCAATGTAAGCAAGAAAGAGAGGAAGGATAAGAGAGTAAACATGGGTCCCTGACGCCCACCTTGTCATCTGGGGCCATACACCGGCATTCAGAAAAGATACCCAAAACTCTGCAGGTTTATGGACCAAGCAAGTGATTTCTAAAACCAAAGGTAGAATGTGACTTTGAATGACCTGAGGAGGGTGAACCCTCCTCATTTGAATAGGGTGATTAGAGGAAGAAATCTTGAAACTCTTGTTATAGACTAGAGACTTTTAATCCCCTGAATCTGTCAAATAAATATTTAGTGTCATTGGAATAATTGATGGACAAGTAATAATCTTGCCCACAATGT